CTGTGACATTCGTCGCACTGCACCCAGTCGATGGATGCGTTCTCGGTATCAGTCAAGTCTCCAGGAGGTTCACGCCTGTCGCACACGGCACAAAGGTCCAATTCATCGTCTCCTTCAATATCTTCGGCTATTAGAGGAGGAATGCCATGTTTTTTCCTTCCCAATCGCAATTCTGTCCTCTGAAACACACATCATCTTCTACATGCCAAGCAGTATTATGAGCACTTACTACCTTTAACATCATCTCAACTTGACATCGAAATCCACCTTTCCGCATTTGTTTCACGGACTTTGGGGGACGACCCCCAACAGTAAGGTCTCTTCGGAGAGGCAAGGAATCCTTCGGCAATTCTTCGTCTGAAATTGATAGCTGATATTAACCAAAATTACAAAAACAAAGAGGAGCACTTCATACCAAAAGTCAGTTTATCAATAACTGCTTTAATCCCACGTTCAACCTGTTCCAGTTCTGATTGCACTTCAGTATTTCCTTTGATAGCTAATTTTCCGATATATGCAGATAAGTAATCAAACATCTGAAAAGCGTAGAATATTGTTCAAGGATTTGATTTTGCAGTTCAATTTTGCTCTATTACCCTTTCTGTTCGGATCCTTATGTTCATACAGTTCTCTCTGCAAGTGTCTTCTTCAGGGATGTCCGATCCCACCGAGTTGTTATTGAAGACGGAACCACTGGGACTCTCCGTCACAGGCAAATCCTCGACACATTGTTCCTTCTCAGTATCGCCAGAAGCAACAACCACAGTGTCACTATCTGGAGTATTTGGAATAAGCTATGAATTGGAACATAAAATTTTAAGTTACCGTCATGGAGTATTTGGAAGACATGTATATGCTTGCATGAAGTTCCGGCTTTAATGTTGTCCGGACAGGAACACGACACTGCGAAGGGACAGACATTACACAGCAAGCAGTGCTGTCCAAATCCGGACTTGCAAGGACATTCAGCGGTCCTGATGGAATAAGTCCTCCCAGTCCTGTCTGACTTGACCGCCCAAGATGATGCCGCCGTTCGCACAATAGAATAGTCATCTTGATTTTCCACAGCCCGCTTGTGCCTTCTCAGGTTTTCCTTTTGACGGAATCTGCCCTCCATGAGATTTCTGGCGTCCTAAAAAGTACCTGACATGCAAACGCTTGAAGCTAAACTTGGCTTGAACTTACCATGATTTCATGAGCTCTAGCAGTATCCGAAATAATGTCCAGTAGTGCTTGTACTAATGTGTCCAGTCTTGAATTCGAAGCCTTGTTCAGGTAAGAATATTTCAATGAGCGGTGGAATCGCTCATTGAACATGTTTGTATTCATAATACTTGACGACCTCGCATAGGGCGCCCATGTTTCCTTCTTAGAGAGATAGTGTGTAGAAAAGTATTCCTCAAATTCAGCAGCCACTTGCGCATCCTTTTCGTCACCGATTGACTGAAGCTCGCGAAGCCTCTTGTACAAGTATGAGAGGCATCGCTGCCACTCGGGCTTGTTGGAAACTGTGAAAAGGGATAAAATAGTCGCGTGAATTTCATTGTTTCTCCTGGTCTTCTCAGGAAACAAGCTCATGAACTTGTCGAACACTGCGCACTGGACGTGCCACGAACAAAGCAAACGTTTGGCTTTTTTAGCCGCCTCTGGGAATGTGTCAGCAAAAGAATTCCAGAACGTGTTGGCGTTGTCCGTCATAAAGCACTCAGGATTGAAGTGCGGATGGAGGTCCTTTACAACTTTGAAGAACTTGTTAACCGCATCCTTATCCATGGTTGCGCTGATCATATACCCCGCGGGTACGCCCCTTCCAGCGTTATCTACCACCATAAAAGTGAGCAGCTTTAAATTATATCTACATGAGTTATGGGTATCGTCAAGGCTGACTCCATGTCTACCATACTTCTCCAACATAGCTAGCTGGAAGGGGGTGATTATGACCAGGCAGAAGCCTGTGCCTTCTGGAGTGGTGGGTGGGATGAACAGTCTCAGGCCGTCCTGCGGATCGTTTCTCGCGACCCGCTCCGCTACCGATTCCAGATCGTTGTCGTGAAATCGCCCTCGTTCAATTCCAATATTTGCCAAGATATTCCTCACATCACTTCCGGTTACCCAGTAGAGTCTCTCAGAAGGTAACGAGTGCTCCATCCTAACTGCTCTAGTGATGCTTGGTATGGAGAATTTCTTTTTCAGCAGCAGAGATATTTCTTTCCTATCACTATTCGACAGCGGCAACAATGCCGCACTAACGGTGTGGCCCAAATGTGATTCGCAATACTCAACTTCGATGCTTCCATTGGACTCATTTTCAACAGTCTAAAGTAGTTAATTTAGTAGTTGGCAAATGCTGGCTCAAATTTGACTCTAGAAAAGTGACTTTCAAAAATGAAGTGCACGCCGCTGTGGTTGCCTTACTATGACTGCGCCTTTTTTTGGTCTCCCCGGCTATTCTTCTACGGGATCTGAAATGTGTTGATCTGATGCATCTAATTGCACACCCTTTAAGCTATCCACAATACATCATACAAATGCATGCTCATGTAGGAGGTCACTATACTATGAATGGCATACCGGCTGCACTTATAATATTTGATGTTAACTCCGTTTTTAGCAACGCAATTGTAGCATGACCAGGATGTTATTGTGCGCCGCTCCTGCTCTTCCTTCCATACCTAAACCACGCGTCCGACACAATGCTTCTGAGAATACGTACAGTTTTGCTGCTCAATTATAATGTATCACTACCCACCATGAAATCCTCCCGGTTTCCGAACTGCTTAGTCATTACTCTGCCTTGAAATCCATGATCTTTGCAAGCGTGCTTGATTAGCGTTTTCGAACTATCAATGTTTGTAGGACATTGAGGACACGATATAGACCGCCTGCGTTCGGGTGTTGTCATCTCGATATCGATGTTTTGGCGTGCAGATAGGACTTCCCTATGACTCCTTGAAAAAAGTTTGCTTCTTAAACTGAGCTAGAATTTTGAAGTCAAACAACTCGCCTAGTC